GTATATATAATATGTACGAGGCGTACAGAGACGCCTGTGAATGAGTGGCCCCCCATGACATGCCTAGCCTTATATTCTTTGAATTTTTTATACTAAATAGATATAATATATATTTTTTTCATAGTTTAATTCATTATTTATTCAAAATTTGGCATAAAAAAAGTTTTTAACCATCGTGATTCTTAAATATTGTATATATCACAAATTCTTGCTAAAAAAAAAACGAAAAATTTGAATATCTTACAAACAGGAGCAGCTAGGATTTCAATTCAAACTGATTTTGAATCTATTTTCAAGTACAAATACATCGCCGCTTTCAGTTTTTGTCGTCATTTTTATGCGATAAAAAGTTGCTTCCTGCCCACCGTGTTACGCCGCTGATATAGACGTTCTTACTAAAATGACTCAAAAATTTACCTAAAATATTTTTACATATTTAAATTATATCCTGTAGGTAAACAACTTAAAATTAGAAGACTGAATTTAACCAAGTGGAACTCCCTGCGTGAAATGATGCACCCCTTTTGAAATACAGGATGTTTATTATATAACATTAAACTTTTTTAAATGGTTTCACACTCGGTTTCACATACGTACATGCGTGGCGAGTAAATGGTATTCAATGAATGATCCATGAATTAATGTCATAAGGAAAAGTCTATTTAAACGTAGGTAGGTATGTATGTCTAAAAACATTTATTTCAAAAATATAGGTTGCTTCACATCAACAATCAAATAAGATTGTTTCTCATCATTCTATATTTTTAAAATTAGGCGTTTTCGCACTTATGCATATCCTTATTATTTGACAGAGAAATCGGAACATAGCTCTTATAAACCAATAGGTACATACAAGCTCTACAAATCAGCTCTTAATATCACGCAAATACCTTGCGTGTACTATCAGTCTCTATCGAGGTCTCTATTTTATCATTTGTTATGTAATTTTTCCCGGATACCTCAGATACTCTATAGAATATACCCGAGTTTGAATAGGCATTGAGTTTTATGGGGAAAAATAAATAGTTTTATTATAACGCAATTTTCTGATCATCTCAAAGTGATAAGGACGCCGCTCATACTGATAAAGTAAATTCAGAATACAAAGTGCAGAAACCATTGAAACAATTAATTCATTAACGCGATAATATAACGAGGCTACAGATAATACCGCTGATAACGCCGATGTATTCAAATTAATTTCCAAACAAAGGACAGTAAAAATGCAGTAATTAATGCACACGAAATGACACCTGCCTTCTATTCCATTTCCGTTGTGTATGTAGGACAAAAAGGTGCGTTAGTAGGTATAAAAATAACATTTTAAATGGGCGGATCGAAATATTATTAAGATTAACTATACCGTGCATGTCGTTTTTGTCGCATACGCAATTACACTGAAAGTCTAAATCTGCCGCACCTTGATCTGCACATATTTTAAGTTTTAATTCACTTTTATCGATATTCAGATTTATTTTGATAAGTTCTTTTAAGTTTTCGTTGAAACGCAGTATATAAAAACGTTTAAATTTAATAAATTAAATTATTTAAACAATTAACATCCTACTTTTTTACTTTTATTTGTAGATTTACAAATTATTTAGGATGATTAACAAACGGTGACCAAAAATGTACCTCGTATTCTTTGATGAATTTTAAATTAATTTTTATCTGGGATATTTCATTAAAAAGATACAAGATACTAAAACAAATATTTTTAATTTTTTTTAAAATAATTTAAAAACTAGTACTTCAGTGAAATAATTTGAAATGGGGCACATGTATTTATGTAAAAATTGTCCAAAATCTAAGGTCTTTTCCTAAAATTTAGATGCTCCAGTGGCGAAGATACAGGGTATCGGTGACATATTTTTCTAAATAAAATAGTAGGGTAATAATCACGATATTTTCGTATTCGTTTTTCAATTTTCTATAAATTACCACTCGCTTAGTTTTTCGAAAAAGGTCTGATTTTCGAGTAAAACTTTAAAAACGAACTAAAAACACACTTCGATAATCTATAATCGAATAAAATGCGGTTTAAAATTACACAGTAGGCTGCGATAGCAGCTTTGACATTCTGAGCAGTTAGAAGAAAGAATAAAAAATAATGTCTTTCATCAGATTCACGCAACAATAAATTTCGAATAAACTACATTTTCGTAAAAAGATGTCGCACCCGTGTCCGTGGAAATTGAGGTATTTTTGAACATTTACTATAATAAAATCATTAAAATGATGACTAATTTAATTAATTTCTTTATTCAAATAAATAACCGAATGATTAGTGCTTGTCATGTAATTTAAGTAAAAGTGTTTTCAGTTTGTTTTTTAAGTTTTACTTGAAAATCAGTTTTTTTTTCGAAAAACATAAAAGAGTAGTAATTTGTAGAAAATTGAACGGCGAATCCGATAATATCATTATTGTTATCGTACAGCAGTGGCGTATTATTTTATTTAGAAATATATATTTTATCTCCGCCACTGAAACATCTAAATTTTAGGAAAAGGCCAAAGATTTTAGCAATGTTTATATACACACATGTGCCCAATTGCAAATTATTTCATTTACTAGTTTTTAAATTATTTAAAAAAATTAAAAACATTTTTTTGTTTAACACCCTGTATCTTTTTAACGACGCGTCCTAGATAAAAACTTTATACGAAAAACTCCCCTTAACATTCACCAAAGAATACAAGGTTTCATTTTTGGTCACCGTTTGTGATTCACCCTGTATAATACTTCATATTTTTACTATATTTATTCATAGGAAGTACCTATGTAAATAAATAAAAAATATAATACATAATTTCATTTAAACGTGCAATCGAGCGTGCAATAGTACTTAATTGGAAGATGTGTTAAATTAAGTATATCCACGATCCAACAAATAGTTGCTGAAAATATTTATCAGTATCGCGAATAATAGCTCAAAATAGTACAATTTTTCTATGGCATTAACTTAATTTGAATTAATATAATCCTAATCGCGTAAATAATATAAGTGCCACCTAATCTACGATAAACAAGCCGATTTTCCCGTTTCAATAAAAAAAAAAGAAAGAGAAATTTAGCGATAACGTTTTATCTTTAGGTAATACAAATTTATAAATAACACATAGATAGTGTTATTTTTACAAGTATTCTTGGTAGCGGTAACAAATGGATTAAATGTTATATAAATATTAATTTTTATTCTAATAAGGAAAATGCTTGTCCGAATCGATTTACGTAGTGCCAAAATAAAATTTGAGTTACACATAACTTCAATCAATCAAATATAACCTCAAATAAAAGTCACTGGGACTAAGATCTGGCGGACCTAGTGGCCATTCTTTTTTTATGTAAGTGTAATGATGTACATTCAAATTTAACTTTATTTTGAGTTTTCTTTCACCTTCCGTACCTATATCCGCCTGTTAGACTGAATTCTAAAGTGAAGTGAAATCAAATCGAATTAATTTGTTAATTTATAAGTATAAGGGTGCGAACAAACGTAAGTGCAAGTCTCGCTGTAAGATTCATCAAGCATCCATGAACCCTTTTGTGCAATTATGTGCAACTGTCCACAGCCACCATACGGTACGCTTGCTCAATGACAGTTTGTGCTTGAATCATCGTGCTTCAAGCAATCTTTGTGCCGTTTGTACGATCAAAATGTTGGTGCGAAATTGTCCAACAAACGCTCAGTCTGCGCTTGTCAAACGTCCAATTACGTATGTATCCATCTTTACCTTGGTTTCATGGAATTTATTATCACCAGGAAGTTACGAGAAAACCACGACTAAAGCACGATTTTTTTAGATAAATTGCAAAAGAATATCGTAAAGAATACTGGGAAATTATTCTTATTTACATAAAACTATTTTTGTAAGGATGTAAAAATGATATCTGTGATGTGTCCTACATCTCTCGTTATAGTTATTTACGAGTAGGCTAGAAATTGTTTGTATATGACAAAGAAGTAGGTGAAGGTAAATAAATGTCCATTACCATCATCCGCTGAATGATACTACTGAAGATAATATAATAAATTACCAACAAACAACAGCAAATAAAACAGACATGTCAGAAAACTACATTTTTATATTTGCTCTCATAATTGCAACCTGTTCTGTATGTATTCCTACTCCTAAGAATTTGAAGCGTCCTAATACCTACATACATAAAAAAAATATATTAATGTAGGAATACTTATCTTTTTTATTTCCCATAAACGCTTGTGACATATTTAAACCGACTGATTTATTAATTTGTGGCTTGTACCCTTGAATTTATGCAAATTACAACACAGTATGATGTGCTGCTTTGATAATAACAATTAGCAGATGTGTACAAGATCAACTACAAGCAAGGAATTTCTGTTTTGGTGAATCATTCGCATACAGACTGTAAAAAATTAGCCAATTGGTGTATACTATGATGACACATACATTCTAATGATTGCCATACATTGAAATATTATTCAAAGTACGAAAAAATAACTGCTTAGAAATGATTGACAGCAGAGTAGGTACATAATTTGCCGATATCTTATCTGATAACTGCTATCGGCTTTCACTGCTATTGATTTCAATAAATAAATAGATTTTAACTATTTCCCAATTCATTATTTGTTTTTGAAACTTTTTTAAGTACCCCGGTGATAAAAAAAAATGAAACACCTGCTAACCCTAACAGTGGGGATTGTTTAGGCAAAGGAATGTTTCCACATGAACATTTTCAAAATATGTAGAAAAAATATTATTTAAGTGTAAGTATCTATTAAATTACACCTTGGTGACTTCTATTCATCTACCAAGAACTTTCATTTTCTTAATCGGCGTTTTAATATAAAATAAAATATGTTTAAGACAGCATTATAACCTTACTTTGTAACTGTCAATATTTCACTGAGAATTCTGTCCTATAAGACAGAAGGTAACTGTCAAAATGATTTGTTTTGTTGTTTTTTCCTAGGTAGCTAAATAAATAAGTGGTGAAAAAGGTAAAGACTCACGTAGATTAGACCGGAGTAATATCTGTCTTTGAGATTGTGCAGAACACAGGCCTCATTCAGACAGGTAAGCTCAGCCATGTCCTCGACCTTGTCGAATTTCGGCGGGTTCATCTTTTGGATGTCATCCTTGGCCACGGTGGTTCTTTTGCCGGTCTCCTGAATTTCGACCTCGACCTCGTCGCCGCGCTCGCCCTTTATGCTGGCGGCCACGAAGCCCTGCGTCTCGTGGGGCACCCAAACCAGTCGTTTCTGGGTCCATTCCGCCTGTGTGGCCGGGTCGTTGTAATTGTTCCTGTCCACACACAAGAATTTCAGTTCTGGATCGTAACGATCCCTCGCATCGGCGTCAGCCATGGTTAGCTAGACAATGTGAAACAAAAAATCCGCACTCACACAGAAAAAACAATTGTCGATCACACAGAAAATCACATCTAACGTCGAATGAAAGAAATATTCCTACGTACGCACTGGATCGTTAAATACTGCGAATACGGCACGGTTTTTGGTGTTTTTTTCCTAGACAGATTCACCGGTTTTGCTACTCCCTGCCGTTCTCGCCGTCTGTGAATGACAGTTTACTTGCGTTGAGGTTGAGTTAACGGAGTCAACCGTCTGTGCCTGCGCTCCATCGCCACGCCCGGCGTTGCCAGATTTCGCAAAATTAACTTGGTTTGGCTACAGGGTGTTCGGAATTACCTAAACCAAATTTTACTTGGTGATACAACTCTCAAAATAAAAAAATACCATTGACATGGGTCGGAAAATGTTTAGTTTACGAAATACGAGGTGTTCAAGTTGACGTTCACGAAAATGGGTCTTTGTATAAATCAATTTTAATAAGCGTAAATAAAGATAAATAAATGAAAATTTACTTATGTACCTACTTCACAATTTGTTCTTCATAAGACAAACTGACATTTAAGAACCGGCATTATTAAAGAGTGGCTAAAACTGGAGAATTTAGTTAAAACAGCATTGTATGTACCTATTAATAGATGTAGCACTGTTACATTCCACCAATATTCACTATACGTTTCTAGTTAAGACACGAAAAATAGGTAAATCGTTAAATTATAAGCATTTTGTTCAAATTTAGGTCTATACGGGTTTTAAAATTGTTATAGATTTTCTGAATATCTACAGTAAGTAGTTAATAGTTAATATGTACGTATGAATTGGAAAATAATCTGTCTCCAAACAATCTCTATCTTGTTCGTCGGTTGTTTGGTGGTCTTACTTATGTAAATTATCACCACAGCCTAGAGAATATTGTCTAAGCTGTGTTATCACTTTCATTAGCCCTTTTTGAATGTATTCAACGCACCATTTTCAATAGTTAATTTGAATACCCTGCATCTCGGACTTTCTGGCCTGTTTATAGGAACTCATTTTCTTATTTTGAAGCGTTGTATCATCAGGTAAAATTTGGCATATGTAATTCGGAACATTCTGTAAACATATATGATTAGATGCATTGTAATTCAATTTATTCAACAAATATTACGGTTATATACTGGTTATCTAATTCTAATTAGATTGTTAAAATTATGAAGTTAATTTGATTGAATTTATTTACATAACTATTTATGAAAAAAAATAGCAACAATAAATAAGGAAATTGGGTATCGATACAGTTATAATGATTGAGGGTGATATTTATGAAAAATTAAATATTTAAATGATAACTGTAAGAAATACTAAGTATAATTTATTTAGATGTCAACATATCAATGGTGAAATAAGAGGCGTTAAACGATCTATACTTTCAATAAGAACCTTAGTTAGAAATTATTTTTGGATTAGGTAGGTATTATTTCCAAATTTTATGATAGATTGTCTGACATCTAATGTTAGTGTTTCTTGCGATTGGTTAATGAAAAAGTATACAATCATACCTACAGAGCCATCATGATTTAGCTGACTAATAATATGTTTAGGCAGGGCAACAAAATTTTACGAATTCTTAAAGTTTATCACAGTCCAAGGGTTGATATTAAGCGAGATACAGGGTGAAAATTCAGTCATTCAAAATCAGTTGCTTTAGGCTACTACTTTTCGTTTAATTTTTGGACACCCGAAATACTCATAAATATGTTCTATAAACATCCCCAATACAATTTAGTTCTAGTAGGGATCATTTTTCTTAATTGTATTTGTTAGTAGATGCCGTTATTTACGTTAAAATTACATAAAGGCTAAAACGTATCAGATAATAAGATTGCTTTGTATATTTATAAAAAATTAACTTTAGGGAAAAATAATTAATTGATAGAATAGAATGTAAAAGATACAATATTAATCTAAATACAAAGTTATGTATATGACAAATTTCGCACATGTTTTAATTTAAATAGAAGATATTTTATTCTACCGCTCACCCTGAAAAATATACTGAATCATTAACAAATGAATTATGGTCATTTCGGGATGAAATATCTAATAAATTACTGGCACTAATTTATGAACTGAAAGTTACTGATTTCAAAGGAGACATGGCAACGCCGCGCCTTGTTTGCGTTCGCCGGCAATACCGACCGAGCACCTTGTAAACTTTCAAAACGGCGCCGGTACCAGACAAATCAATTTTATGGAGCTCTTTCGTAATGGACTAAAAGAAAAACCACCTGTTAGCAGTATCTAGGATTTTCTTACCATTTACCTGCGTTTAGTATTTATGACGTCCGTAAAAATATTTGAATTTTTAAATTGTCACGTGTGTACCAACGAATTTTGCAGAAAAGTGGTTTGATGATGTCATTTTACCGGTATATAATTACATATACAAAATTTAGCATGAGCGCGCATGGTAATGGGATATTTATATTTAAATTGTTTACGATCTTTCCATTAAACGCTACTTGTCGATTTATGGAATCGGTAATGAATAATTGGGAACAAGTAGTAGGTATTTAACTAGGTTTCCTAATATACCTATACAGTGTTTCCGAATAGGTAGGTCAGACAGGTAAAATTTAAAATCATGGAACATTTTGAGGTTTACTTTGATAAAGAAATATTGGATGTAAGTTGTAGTACTATTTATCCGGTGTTATTTAAGTCAGAATAAAAAATTGACACTTCAGAATCCTTGAAAATATCAAAATATCTCCGAAACAGTGGCGTCGCTAGAGGTGCAGGCAACCTTTTAAAAGCAACATACGAACATCAAAGATTATTTGAGAACAACCATGGGTCAAGCTAGGCAGTAAGCCAATACTTCGTATTGTACTTATATTGAAAAATATTGTCAAAAAATTTAGATTTAGAAATTCGTATTGCTGCTAGGAATAATAATAATGGGAGGATAACACTTTTCTAATATTCTATGTATTTACGGATTTATGACCTATATCGTTTTGCTGTTCATAACGTTATTTTTGTTAACTTAAATAAATATTTTACATTTTATTGGCCAAAAAATTTAAAAGATGTTTTTAGGACGTAGAGAAATAGTAATGAAAAGGATATCAGAAATTCACAGTATTCCAAATAATCGCAGTTTTTCCTTTTTGTTATTAAAATATTGATGCCCACAGAGAGAACGTTATGAAAAATGGTACAAAACTTAGGTTGCTAATTTAACTAAATAAGGATCACTCAATTTGAATACAATTGTATCTCATCTAGTGACGGAGGTAGGTACCTACTGAATCCTAAATTTGATTCTTAATTGTCTTTCAAAAAATCTACGAAAATCTAGTTATTTTTGAGTTATTGCTTGAGAGTTTTTTTTTAATCTAAAATAACTTGCCACAATTAAGAAAAATAAAAATAATATTAAAAAGCAGTGCCTGATTTAACTATAGGCTGGTGTAGGCGCTGCAGCCTACAGGCCCCCAAAATATTAACAAAATTTTCTTTTATGAAAACTAATTTTTTTTAAGACCTCAGTGGCGTCGAAATTCTGGGGTTCTTAGTGATGGTATGTCTCAATACCTCCATCACTGGGTTGTTAATATATACATTTATTTGTATGCAAATTCAATGAATTTCTCAAGCTCAAGTTTCATTAATCATTAATCTGCGTCAAACACCTTCAAAGATATTACCTAGATTTATTTTTCAAAAACTTTAAGGTGGCCATATTCCCGGTCGAGAAATAGTGAAATTTCTGGCGTGTTTAGGTACCTACTGAAATCTTTAAAAGTAAAACGTGTAGAACAAAAGTAAGCACAAAAATAAAATCCTTGATGTTTTGTTTATTCATTGTTACCATTTAAATTTACTCAAATAAAATAATAACTAAAAAAAAAGCGTTTGTAAAACATGCGTTTGCTGTTATTCTAACCTCACATTTTAAGAATTATTTTCACGTACTTATAAATAAAAGTAAACAATTTTATATGTAGGACTAAGCAAGTAAATATTATAAGAATATTTACATGTGGAATTATATATAAACAAGTTAGTATTTTCGTAGATTTCAGTACCTAAAACCTTGATGGTTTTATTGTTTTTTGCACCTGTTTATTCGTTTTACTGCGGCATCTTTGAAAATACCCAGGTGGCATAACATAACATTCCTATTATTTGATAAGCTTTAGATTATTCAGTTATTAAATGTTTGAAATTATTTGTCTTTGCGGAAAACACTATTTAAAGAATATGGGGCCCTTAACAGCCTGTATCTCGAAGGCGAAACATTTACGGGGCCATATTTATGGAAACTTTTTTCCTTATTCCAATGAGCACTTTGTATGGCAATTTTTTCTTCATTTTCTTTTGAAGACTTTATAATAACGGAATTTCAAAATCTGCGATAATTATGTCAGAAAAATGTTTAAATAGAAATAGAATGTGCATACAAATAAGTTTCTTGTTAAATCAAAACACACAATTAATAACAAGAAAACGCAAAATTTATTAGCAAATCGCTAAAATGATTTGTAATAATTAATCAAAATGCTCAGAGAGAATTTCACTTTGCCTTTGCATTTATCTGTATGAAACTTCCATTTAAAAATTCCAGATATACTCGTATGTTATTAAAAACTTTTGGAACTTCCGATGCTCCTAATTAGATACATTTTTTTTACTTGAAATGTATTAATGATGGATGGGATAGGATTTTTGGTACTTGAGAGAGGTATCTAGACATATACAGTGTGCCAAGATAAGGATGGGATAGGATTAGGATCTAGGAAACGGTAAGAGATACGAGGTGGAAGGAAGGAAGGAAGGAGGAAGTTTTAAAATTCCGGGTAGTTCCGGAGATATCCGGAGAAACCCGAAAATTTGCAAAATCGTTTTATTTTTTTTCTGGCTTTATTTGAAAACGAGTTTTAAAATAAATTGCAATGGCACTTTTTTCGCTCTATCCCATGGTGTCAACGTTTTTGCAATCCGACGTTTCATCTTTTTCGGGGGGACATCATCAGGTTAATTTTTTTAAATACGTCGCTGCTATCTTTTTAACAAAATCTACTCATTTTTAATTCTGAATTAGATGATATTACAATTGTAAATACAGTTTTGGCTTGTTTTAATTATCATTTAAAATTTTTCCCGAGTAAGGCTCTGAACGCTTTCAAAATATCTATTGGAACAAATCATAACAGTATAAAAGTCAATACATAC